CGCGCGAGCACGCTGCCGTGAGCCCCTCCCGGGGCAGGCACCAGCCTTACCTGAAGATCTGTCCCCGCAGATGGCACATATGTGCTTGGTGAAGGAGGCCATCGTTCCTGAGGGATGTGCTGGCACTTTGAGGACTCCATTGAGCCCCAAGGGTGGCTTAATGTCTTCTGAGCTGCTGACGGGGTTCATGGGCGAGTTGAGCTGTCGAGACAGAAGCACAGTGCTCAGCAGGGAGCCGGGGCACACGGATGCGGGGCCGAGCCAGCTGCGCGGCAGGGGTTGCCCCTGCACTCAGGCATGGGGCATCAGACATGGGGCAGGAGGGCCAAGCAAGGGACAAGCTTCCAATGGGGACAAGTACCCCTTAAAACACCCATCCAAGAGGAGGATTTGGGCACATGTGTCCAGTGACCAAAGGCACAAGCGCTCAACTGCTGCCCTGGCATAAAAGCCGGTGCAGCTCTGAGCCGCAGCAGGATGCCACTGGGTCTCGCTGCCAGCACAGGGAGAAGGAGCAGGACACGGCCGGTCCCCCGTGCACCACGAGGAGCCACACAGGGCTGACACCGCCCGCCCCAGGACGCTCCTGCACGATTTAAGGGGAAGGCGAGTTCCTCCTGCACTGCCAGACCCCCACCCACGGCACAGCCACGGCACAGCCCCCCACGGCCAGGTGCCCGCAAGCCACCCCGGCTTCACGCCGCCTCGGGATGCAGAGCAGGGAAGATGATTTGCAGCGATGGTTCGTGGGAGAGCTGCTGGCTGGGAGCAAGCGCTTGCACAGATGATGAAGGCCAGGACACTCGCGCTTTAGCTCTGCAATTTATAGACATCCTTTTAGCATTATATCTCCAAAGGAAAGCTTCACAGCAAATAAATAGATCCCAGATGCAATGGGGCCTGGCTTTCCAGAGCAGGCTTGGGTGGGATACTTCTCTGCAACTTCCAGCCTTCCAACAGTCTGTCCACATGCCTCTCCTTCCCTCCCCAGTGAGCTCGGTCCCCAGCAGTCAGTGAAGAAAGCAGAGAACTGGGTGGAAGCTGGGTGCTGGCACGGCCCTGGGGCGCTGGTATTGAGTGAAGGATTCCTGAGTTGATCCCCACATCGCCCTGTGCAGCAAAGCAGGGTTTATTTCCCCATGTACAGAGAGAAACTGAGGCATGGAAATGTAGGATCGACCCATCTTGATAAGGGAGACAAGCTCACAGCAACCCTGCCCAGCCCAGGGTAGGTTCAAGGAGGTCCGGGGGGGGACGAGGGAGCCAGGCTCGGTCAGCTCGGGAGGCAGCGGCGGCCGGGACTGCTGCGGCTGTCTTCCTGGGGAGCCTCCGTCCCTGCCAACTTCTAAATCCAGGTTGGATACGCAGGATTTGTGCTTCGCTTTGTTGTGTTTCGCTAATAGAGATACTCAGCAATTGCACTTGTCACAAATTAATTCAGGGAAGTCCCAGGGCTTGTGATCTGTCAATTAGAGCAGCGCAGCCGTTCCTCTGGCTTTAAAGTCTCCAGGCTGGTGGGGAATATTTAGCAGGCAGATGACTAATAACCGCAGAACAGAGCAAGGTAAACCCACCCTGGAGAAATGTGATGGATCTGCCTCCCTCTCCCACCTGCCTGTGCCAGCTGATGAACCAC